ATCTTCATCACCTGCACATCTTCATCCCCTGCACATCTTCATCACCTCCACATAGGGGTTGTGTAAATTAGCAGTCTGGAAATAAAGCCAGTGACGGCTCTCCCACAATCACTCCATATTATCATTATCAGTCCTAATTATAATACTGGCCAAGTTCACCATAACAAAACTTATGTGAATAAATAAAGTCTGTTCACCTATCAAACCTCAATTCAAACCATCAAATGATATCCAGAGTGGGGGAGCATTTTGGAAGCAATCAGTCTGATTGCTGTGAACATATAGCCTACATGTTGTGGTATTGTAATGCGTTATACTGTGTGATAGATGCACTGGCACTGTTAAAGGACTACATGAATGAAGACTTAGGAGCAAACGAGTGTTCAGGGAACACCTCCAAGCACCTCGACTTCTGTGTAAAAATAAAATCCTTTTCTTGATCTTCCACCGTAAAGAACCATTGATCAGCAGGCTCTTTTCTATGCATAAACATCCACAAAGTGCATTGCTTTGACCATTTATGGTTGAATGTGAACGTGTAGAGGGCGGGACATGAGGCTGATTGTGCACACATTTACAAATTGATTTGAGATTTCTAAAAGGAAGTTGCACAATGGCAGGATACCGCAAGGTTTTATGAATCAGAATATTTTTAGCGTTCGTACACGCTACAGATATGTATAGTAATCTGGCTCGAAGGCCTTGAGATCACCCAGAAGGAGCTGGAAAATGTTGCTGTAGAGAGGGAAGTCTGGACTACCTTGCTTAGTCTACCGTGACCCAGCACCAGATGAATGGAATTTGTATTCAAAACCACATTTGACTGCATAGTAGGTTAGTTAGTGCAGACATCAAGCTTTAGTGTGTACTCTTGTTTATGTGTTTGAAAGATATGTGTCTTTATGCATATTTATGATCATTTCAACAGCATGTTCATCCTCAAATATGTATCCTTGTTCTTGTATTTGTGTGTGTCTGTGCTCTGTTAGGACATAGACCAGTGGGAGAAGCTGAGCGACATGATTGGAGACTCATGTTCTCTGCTCTCTGACATCACCTTGAAGTCAAAGGCCCCGCCTCTTCCAGGAGTCAGAGATCACATCTTAAAATACATTCACGAGACGACGGTCAGTGATTTGATCTGCATCATATCAGAGCACCAAGGTAACAGAAAAACAAAGATAGCAGTACTAGCACTCAAATCAGCTGTTAGTGGAAAAAATGCTGTTTTGCTAAACTTCCACAGGATGAATGAAACATGGAAACAGAATTCTCTATTGTCATTTTAAACTCCTTTAAAAGTATTTTCATACTGTACCCTTGTATTCCATGACCAACCAGGCAGTCCATATTAACAAATGTGCTCAATCTTTCTGCATAGACCTCTGCCCAGCACTGTCCCCTTTCTGCTTTAAACACTGCTTCCCAGTAATTTAACCCCCTCTCCACCTCCTCAATGTCCTCCACCATTCACTATAAAACTCATGTGTATTCAGCAACAATTTAAATGCAATAAGCATTCATATATTGTAACTGTTGCGTATGGTTGGGCAGGGTGAGCTGTGAGCTCAGAGACAGGTATGGGTTATGGTGTGTTCACACCAAACGCAAAGGGAACTTGTCACGCAATGCGATTACATACAAAGTCAGTGCAAATCAGTTTTGAGATTCTTCTCTTGTCATCACTGACGTCTTGACGTTGTTGAATTAGAAATGGAGTCTGTGTGCACCCAGAGCGCTGCGATAGTACCTCATATTTGTACAGTGACCGGATGATACTCTGTGTATAACTGTATCTGAAGAAACCACACACTGTCTATGTTACAAACAATAACGTTGTTGCCATATTTATGACTGGATTTTATTATTAAGAGTGTTTATGGAGGAGCTACAATGTATACGCAGCTTAGCCGAGCACTGATCGATTCCAACTCCAAGCAGAAAATAAGCATTTAAAGAAATACTTTGCTTGTCATCTTGCGGACAGACCTAACAAAGCATGACTTCAGACTTTTTATAAAATTGAAATCGTTATCTAGTTATATGGGCATCCTTTTTAATTAGTTTAATGCAATTAAACAAAATCAGTTTTTTCACACCAGCCGACGTGTGGTTTGCTAGATACAGTGAATGCAGCGAGTGCCTCCAGATGATAAAGGTGTTGGGGTTTCAGATGGATCTGAGACTTCCACAACATGTGCAAAGCAACAATAGAGGTTATTTTGTGGTAAGCTGCCCCAACCTTCTTTCCAGCGCATCTGGCAGTAGTTCCCGCTGACAGAAATTCGCTTCGTGTTTTGTGTGAACACACCCTTACACTTGACTAGATTTGTTCTGGGAGCAGAACCTCAAATGCATGCTATTGTTGCAGTAAATTGTTGCAACAGATGTAAAACCTTGATGTGACTGTCCTGACTGAAATACAGTTTTTGAAGGCTTCACCTTACTGGCAATATCTCCATAAGCACATTAAGACAGGAACGAAAGTAATAGACTTGGATAATGTTATCTTGATCTTCTTCCCAGCTAAAACCTTCATTCTGTTGTGAACAAGTAAACACAGAAATCAAGTCCTCAAGTCTGCATATTCCAAACACTAATATTTACACCTGAAGATTGTTACGGACTTTTAGTTGTTGTAAGTTATTGTTTAATAGTTTATATCCCAGTACTCACAATAACGCCCCAGCCAAACTCACGAGCAGGGGCGCGGGCTGTTGTGTTGTTTTGTTCACATAAAAGTGTTTGCCTTTCACTCCACACAGGTCAGAGAAACTTATATGGAAGACTTTTAACATTTATAGTAAACGGTTGTACAGTTAGATTAAGCAAAAAGGGCTCTGCTGCTGGATCTGAGCCTCAACAAGGATTCCTTAAAGAGAACTATTCCCACTTTAATAAACATGAACAACTAATCCGAGTTCAATCAAAAATAACAAAAATGTAGCAAAAAGGGATCAACTGTTGCTTTATGCAGACATTACAATCCTAGAATCCATAGCCCCTATTCCAGCTGTCTTTGGACCATTCTGTCAAGCTACAGACCCAACTTCCAAAACAAGTGACCATGTCCCAATCAGCTCCCTAGCTCTTGATCCCGTTCAAGGTTAGCTCTGCACGAGTATGATCGGACATATTGGTAACTTGGTAACAGCAGATGGTGACGTGTGAATGAAGCAGCTGATGCATGCTGAAGCAAGACGTCGTTGCTTGAACTATAAAAACACTTTCACTTTTAAAATATTGCTTCTATGATAAATTGCCATCAATACTCATTCTGTGTGTATGTGTATGTCTTTACCTGTTGATGTGCCAGGTTCAGTGTTGATGGGAACAGCATGCAGTGAGCCATGCAGTGATGACTCTTTGTCAGATATAGTAAGTCTTATTCCCTCTCCTTCACTTAGGGTGTCCGGCTTCATGTCTATGTCATTTGTCTGATCAGAGAACATTTGTCTCTCAGAGTAGGAAACCTTATTCCAAAGCAGCAGCCATCTGCAGTAATGATATGTTGTGTGTGTGTAATATCATAAAAAGATCCATACGGAGCTTTGTAGTGACTTTCAGTTTCTGTCTGACACACAACTTTAACTGCTCTGGTTCACTCTCACCATTCCCAAAGCGTTGTTTTTGGCCCAAATGTGACTTATGACTTATCATCTCTCCAGTATAGAAGAAGGCCAGGTTGCCTCCACGAAACCCATTTATTCCTGACACCTTGAAGAGTATTATCCCGCTTTCACCATGGTCACTTGCCAGAGAGAAAAAAATTAAGACTATTAATTTGTATTTTCATGCGTTTTGCAACCAAAATCGAAAGTTTACTCACAGGACATTCACTCTCTTTCCCTGGAAACCCTGAGGGGTTGTTAATACCTGGAACAATCACTAGCATCCCATAAGATTATTTTGCAATGGAAACGTTGTCCAGTGCTCCAGTAATTAGGACGTACTTTAGAAACCAACAGGCGATATTTCTAGTCTAAGGTTATGCTAGCAAGACTCAGAGTCAATGACCTTGTGTACGGTTGAAAAACATTAAATATAAATTAAAAGAATGTTTAACAACAAGACAAGCTAGCTATATAGCCATGTTATATTTTTAATATGTCAAATATTATATTTTCACAAACAAATGAGAGGCCATGTGAACTGTCAGCCGCAGCCTGATGTAGCGAGTTGAATAGCCAATGGGATGTGAGAGATGATCTTTTATAATATGCCTCAGTAGGTTCAGAGGGGCAGTCTAACTTACTTCTTGCAGCTTGTGTGTTACAGTCGTGTTCAGAGGATGAGGCACTGAAGGACTACACTTATTGTTGTATGAGAGATATTCAAATTGATTTATTCATTTCATTTAATCAATTTCTGCCCCACTAAGACCTGGTTCAGGTTCTCCCGTGCCTCCCTTCCCTCCAGTGGGGCCAGCAATAACGCCTATCGCAATATTGCATACATGTACAAAGAAAGAAGTACAGTTTTAAGAGATGGACTTGATTGGTGAAGATTTAACTGAGCCAGAGAAAGGGCCACATGAGGAGATCATATCACAACCTACTTCTAGCTCTCTTGTTAAAAAGAGCTCTAACTACACAATGGATCGCTATCCGGATCCTACCAGGCCCTATAAATATTAAATATACTCTGAATCTTTTACCCAGAAAAACATTCTTCTGGTCCACTTCTTGAAGTGTCATGGCCTGTTGCCCAGAAACAATCTATACACAGTGCGGCTCCCGCTTAAACGGGTTTCTTTTTGTCAAGCTTGTCTGAAAACACACACTGTCCCACACAATGACCTCCATGCCAGATCTCAGTCTCCTCGGGTGAAAACTGTGTCTGCCAAAGGGTGGGGAAGTTTGAGTTTGAGTGAGCTATGGAGCATCTGGTCATAGCTAAAAAGTGATCAAATAATACAAATAATACGTTATCTAATCATCCCTCTGTAACAACAGAGTTTATAGGTTAATAACTTGAATCATTGAACATTTGCACCTTCCATCCTCTATAGAGCGGTTACAATAATAAAACATCTATTCAAATGATAAGTCCAGGCTTTATGAAGCTTTTTACAGTACAACAAGCTACTATCCAGATCTAGACCCTAACCCTGACCCCTATGTTTTAGTCTGTCTACATAAGATCAGAATTGCTGCCATAAATTACAGAACCTGTCCTGAGACTATACTTTATCTTTTCTAAGTGGAGAAACTGCAAAAGATCTCTAACCTTTTGCTCGGATAAAGACAAGTCACCAAAGTAAACATCGCACCCATTTTTTACAAACCACATATTTTCCACACATTCTCACACTACAATGGCATTTCAGATGGACAAATCAGGTGGAAATAACTTCTTAAGAGATTTAAGAGATTTTAAGATTCTCTCTCACAGCTGCAGTGACAGAGTGCATTCTACTTGGGGTCCATCATACCAACGTTAGCTGGTGTAACGTTAATAAGATAACAATGTCAGTGCAAATACGTTAGCTACAGTTAGTTAAGCATTTAGAATACAATGACGCATCACGCATAGATCACAAACAATAAATTACACTATATTTGTCACGGGGTGTGGTGGAGGACTCAAATGCAGACATAACCAAAATTTAGCTTGGTAGCTGCTGGCTAATCCGGGGAGCATTCAAAGAGCGGAGCCATCATCGCCAAGCTTAACTGTATGTCCATTTGTTGCAATAAATGGTTAAAATCTATGACGAGAGTGTTCCTGACTGAAATTTAAGTAACTTAACTAATGTTACTTGGTTAGGAACACTAACGTTAACTGTAGTGTGTTTTATATAACTTCACCATACCACTGTTGTTGTGTTAACCAGATGTAATCACAGCCTTTTGAATGTCTTTTTTCTCACGTAAACTGGAATAATAAGGATGTTACCATAACAGAAAGTCAACTTCTGGGGGAAGTCGGCAACGTCTGTCGGTTTACTAATATCAGTTGGCCCGTCCATTTCGCGGTCTTTCTCCTGGAAATAGTGGATTGGAACGATAAATAGCTGGGGTCATTCAGAACTACATGGCTTACTGGGTGGACCTACAGGCCTAAAAGAACAAGTGATTCTAGACGGTGCTCATCGTTCAGCTGAACGAGGAGCTCCGTCTAGAATCACTTGTTCTCCAGCATGGCATCAACACCCAAGAGTAGCGCCTAGAGAAGTTTACTGTTGGCATTAGCAGGCTCGGTGGGATAAGCTTACAGTTTCCAACATGCAGCTTTGGTTTTCATATCCTCTTCTACACCGTCATCTTCATTCAGTGGTCTACTAAGGCCGTCGTATTAGGGTCGATAATTTGATTCATTTTCATCTCAAAGAGTGTTGAATGTGTCCCGCATGACTTCTTTCACATCTTCTCAGAATTCACTGGGCATCTTAGCGTCGCAGTTAGCAAGCGTCATGTTCTCAGCTTCTAGTTTCGTCTTCATCGATTTGCCTTTTTCCTGGCTGTTTAGTGAGGGCCATATTTGAGTAATTGACACCTGAATGTGATAAAGTACAGATATAATACAAAAATAACATGAGTTGTTGATTATAACATAGGATTGCATTGAATTTTGTGAAAAAATTGGGACATTGGGGAATACCCGGTTACCCCATTGGCTCCCTCTCGCTATTCATTTTAAAAACAGATATGTCTTTTTAAATGTATTGTTTCATATTTTTTGTAAATCTTTTTTTGCAGTATTTTGAAGTACTTGTTATTTCCTCTTTCCTTCTGTACTGTTTATTGCTGTGCACCAAAAAACAACAATGCAATAAACCTGATTCTAATTCATTTAGTAACATCAATCGTTCCAGCTCCTCAATGTAAGTATTTGATGATTTTCTTAATCTATAATAGTAAACTGAATATCTACTGTATACTTAATATCAAGGAATATGAATTTGAAATTGTGAGAACATCATATACAGATGAATTGCCAAGGGACGCAATCTTGCAGCCCTAGTCACCAGCAACCATGGACCCCAATGCATAACACTTTGTAACCCAACTAAAGCCCTAGGTCAGCCTTCTCAACTGTGATTGGACCCAACTCATTCAGTTTCATTAAGTGTCTTAATACCACAGCAACCTCATCAGTGTAACCCCAGAGGCTGTGTCCTGGTTTCTGTCCCCCTCCCTTTGGTGGCATCACACACTTTTCCTCCACCCCAGCGTCTGTCTCACACTGTGTTACTCTTCTTCTCCCTCAGGCTGTGGGTCTGGGCCTGGACTATGTCAAACTGGGAGGTCTGAGCGGTGCTGAGAGGATGACTAAATACAACCGGCTGATTTATATAGAGGAAGAACTGGCCCAACAGGGAATCCTGGGTAGGTTTCTTTATAGTCCTGCCTTGTTTTGTTTTTTATAGCCGGACAGAGAATGAGGAGGCCAGACAAAGCCAGAGAGAGAGAGAGAGAGAGAGAGAGAGAGAGAGAAATCCCTCTGCCTGAGAACTCATCTCTCTCTCGCTCTGTGTTGGATATGAAAGGAAACTGTGTGTGGGGAATCATACAAATGTGTATTTGTGTGTGTGAGAGTGGAAGAATGACCCCCCCCAGACTCCTTTGGATTTGTTAATTGGCCACCTAATTACACACAGGGACAAATACTTTCCCATCCATCATTTCCAAAGCAGGCAGGGACACTGGAGGGTTAATGGGAGATGATACATGTCTGTGTGTAATCAATTCCCATCAAGAAAAGTTGTGTTTACATGTTTGTTGGTGAATGTTTGTGGGGATACATGCTGAAGTGGACCGAGGTGCAGTGAAAGGTTCATTTCAGGCCCGTTATCTGAGGCCTCTGCAGTCTGGCTTTTGTCCGTTCACTTCATTTCATTACTTTGTCTCGTCCATAGTCTCCGAGGAGAAGCACCCTCCTCCACTGTTCACTGACAAACCACAGGAGCAGTCTGCTACAGCAGAGAGTACCGTCTGACACGACCGGCTCACAGCTTCTATTTGATTTGAGAAAATATGATTTAAACGTTTAAATCAAGTGTCTGTGCTGGCACATTATATTCCACTTCCATCATTTAGTTCTGCTGTTATCTCATACTTGCCTGTCAATATTTCACTGTAGAACCAGCGGAGTTGATTATGAAGAAAGTGCATTAATCTAGTGTTGCCATTTTGGTTTATTTAAAAATGCTAAGTAAGTAAACATAACCTTCAATAAAAAGAGTTTTGACAGCCCCAGACATCTCGCTGCTTCTTCAGATACACACAAACCACCGTAGCAGGTGCTGTACGCTGTACCTCTGTACACAAACCTGCTTTCAGGTCACAGTCCAGCATCTCCACCAAAATATCCAAACTCTGCAGCACTCATGAGCCACAACACAGCAACTTCAGCCTTCAGTGTTCACCACAAAGAAAACAGAAGAGAAGACTGGTGAAGGTCATTATATCATGTGACCACTACACCTACTTAAAGCTTTTTATTAATTATGTTTGTATCATATATTTAGGCCAGTTTTATTGCTAAGAACACAAATATTCAGTTTCAAATTTGTACAAAGTAAAAATACACGGAAGATTGATTCTGCTTACTACTCTCATTCTATGAATCATTGATGTCACATGCATTGAATGTGTTGTAACTCTGTTATGTTGTTATGTCATTCTGTACACATGACATCTTCTGTCCATCCTGATAGATCATCTGTTGCTCTCCCCAAGGTATCTTCCTCTTTTCCTTATTCACCCTCTTGTATATTTTTTGTACATGTATTTGCAGAGTACAAACGGTTCCACCTGCCCTTGGCCTTCATTGGTGTTATGAAGAGATGTTCTCTAAAGAGTATGTAGATCAGTGATTCCCAACACTTGCCAACCACAATAAACCTTTCTCACAGTTTGCACATGTCAACAGGTTGTGACCAGTTCAGCTGAAGACTAACTGTCTTTTCTAATTTGATTTGAGCAACAGTAGAGGTCAAATTCTGCACTTTAAATGCATTTCTAAGTTTAACAGACATTTCTTCTGCTCCACTATTCTCTAAATTATCTCACAATAAAACAACAAAACTCTCCACTGAATGAAATTATTTTTAATATTCATATAAAATGTGTATAGGCAGGTGATCGATCACACTCCTTCATATTGACTTGTATATTGACAGTTCTGAAACAAACAAATCTTCTAATGTCCCATCACTGTTGGATGACTGTGGCTTCATATCATATGTGTATTGAGGACAATATTCTAGTAGTAAATTGATTCAAGAGTGACAGAGCAGTTCTTGATTCATTGTGTTCATCTGTGGAAGCTCTGTGCTTTAACAGAACTGGATAAGGAAGGCTGTAAGAAGCTGTGGGAGGATAATTGCCACAGAAAACACACACACACACACATACACACATACACACACACACACACACAGAGCTGTGTCAGTGTTGTCTAACAAAGCATGTCTCCTGTCTGTTTGGGACGTGCGAGGTAAAGGCCCCTTCATAACTGGTCAGCCCCCTCGCTGACCCCTCTCATGGCTCCTCAGTTCCTGGAGGAAATGATTCAGTCAGTGTAGAGACAGGAGGGGAGAGGCCTGGAGGAACATCCGGCCGGCCTGCAGCACAGAAAAAGAGGCTGCTTGTATACAGTGGGGAATGGAGGAGCTTCACAAGTGCTTTGTTTACCAGCCACATACAGCTGCATGAATGGGCCTGTCAAGTGAGTTTCCCTTATTCACAGCTCTTTTCTATTAAACAGAATCTGGCTGACATGGCCCTGCTGACACTACAATAGTCCTGACTCACTTGTTAAGGCTGGAAATGAAAATGTAGACTGAAGTTGTTGATAGCAGGTCCAGTTGGAAGATATTTCTTTTTTATTTTGTGTCGGTTTTACTAAAGCCATCATGATTTACACTATTTTAGATTCTTTCTAGATTATACAATTGCTTCATTTAATCAAATGTCATGCAGATAAATAAAATCACAAATGTTTTGCAACAGAGTTTTCTTCCAGTTTCATTCTTTGTGGTTTCTTAGTTTGCATGCAGCGTACACTCAGCGTTGCTGTAACTGACAACCTCTAATCAATGACACGTGCAGACACGAACTGAGGCCGGACACACAGCGGCATCTCAACTGAGGCGCCCCGGCAGGCAATTACAATGTTTGGGAAAATAAATGAAATGACTAACAAAATAGGTTAAATTAAGTGTTTCCCTGACACACTAAAGGACCTCCCTAATTGCTGGTCCCTGAAGGGACAAGAATACAAAAACAACAAAACCTTATATTGTATCAGCCGATGACGGGGGAAAGATGGAGAGCCGAGAATGGGCTGTGGGAGAAGAAAGGGAAACAGCATGGTTTGTGTAATTACATGTTTTGCCTCAATCGGCGGTGTGTGTACCGTCCATCAATCAACATCAGCGAGTTCCACGGCTGGAGCAGATGGCGGAGGAAGGAAGTGAGCCGGCCATTGACTTTGTCTCTGCTGAGGGAAGGAAGATGAGGACAACAGATCGGCTCCTCCTCTGAATCAAAGACTATATTGCATGTTGGCATATTATTGAGTTTTGCCAGGACTGCCTCGACTAGAATAACCACATTAGATACGGAGGATATGGGAGGCAGGGACAAGTCAATACAAAAACCTTCATTTCTTTTTTTATGTTACTCCATCTCAAGCAGGTGGACCACTCTCTGACACACTGTACTCCAAGATGCTATCCAAGATAACTCACACATCCTCATGCTACTTGTGTCATGAGAAAACATGCTCTCTACACAAGTTTATAGAATCTCCCCACAGAGCATTTCCTGTTTCTACCAGCTCCACTGTTGTGACTAAATGTGCTGCTAAATCAAATTACAGTGTGACTTCCTGGAGTGAGGGATGAATGAACGCGTGGAAGATGGAGTGGAGTCTTTGAAGCCTTCTGCTGATGAATCTGGTTAGAGAAGAGCCACAATGACATTTCCTCCACACTGTTCGGGGGGATTGGGAGCTGGAAATTGCCCCTCAGTGCTGAACGAAGCCTAAGCTTTAATTAACAGCAGCACACAATAGGTGACGGACATCGCCCACAGTTCACAGCTCTCATGTTTCAATCCCTCACTCAAGGAAGTGTCTGGGAAATTTGGCAGGTGTCAAAGGGAAAACAAAACACGCGAGCAGTTCACCTTTGTGGTTAAATCACCAGCACAGTCATTGTGCTTTTCAAAGGGCGCAGGCTGATCCTCCACTCCATACCTGACTAATACCGACTCTAACCGGGGCATAAAGGGGAAATCCACCCTAACACTCTTTAACACTGTTACAAAACAGCTAGGGGTGAAGTGTTTCTGGACTCATTGAAATACTTGCTTTCAGTCTTGTTATTTACTGATTAGACTTCGCTCATCATATCATTATGATTTTCCCCACATTGCTATGGAATCTGATGACTAATAGTAATAATCAGATGTCTTGACAGTCACACAGTCATCCATTATACTGTAGGTCTACAGCAGTAGACCAGAATGCATTGCAGCTTTAAAAAATGTTTGTTACATTTTGAGCAAAATCATTCAAACATACTAGATTGTAGTAAATCACAAACTTAAGTATATTTGACATGTCTGTAATCCATAGTTAGAGAGAATGGAGTTTCTATTCTATATACAGAGAGGTCACAGCTGGAGCTAAGAGCTAAGACTCTGGGTCCAAACTAACTGATTCCAACCTCGTCTTCTAAAAATGATTTTAAAAATAATTTTGGCATTATTAAGAAATTGTATTCTGGAATGAGTTTTCTTTCTCTTAAAATCTGTTAGCTGTCACAAATTAGTGTCAACATCGTTTCTTGGAGAGTGTTGATTTTCTGAGAAGAAATGTCCAAAAATCCCTCCAAAAAACTTTGGGAAGTATAGAAGTTTTGCCAAGAGTGCTTTTAACCAAGCTGTCATTTATTTAGTCATTTTCCTTTCATTCAGTTTTTCTTTTAGAGCAACAAAAATAACGACATGCTCCCGATAGTAAAATCACTGAAGTCTGTGACTTTGTTGAACACTAAGTCCTGGAGTGAATCAACACTAATATTACAACACAGTCCCCCCATTCATTTCAATTAGTTGAACCTGGCTCCACTTTTGCCATAACATGCTTCCCCTTTTCCACCAACACAGAGCAGGTTACGTTCCGGTTCGCACACCTATTTAGTACACCGAGTATTTCGACCAAAAATAAATTGGTTTAAAACCAAAATGTTGGTTCCCAGCTGGAATGAAAAGTAGCATGTTTTCCTTGACGTGAAGTGCAAACCCGGAATGACATCAGTGGGTGTGTCATATTCTACAGGTTGGAAAGAGAGGATGGGGTTTTGCATGCAATAGTCACCTGCGTCTTCATATCATAATCGGTTACCTGAACCAACACGCCTACACCAATGCAGTCCATTGGACTGAACGGGTAGTTCAAACTGCAGGCAGGATGCAGCCGAGAGGAGGCGGTGCCCTACATAAAATGGGAGCCTAAGGCTACATCCATACTACTCCGTTTTCAAACAAAAATTATCTCCGTCCACACGGCGTTTCAGCATTGTTTTCTAATAGATCTCCGTCCAGACTAACACACCTGAAAACAAATATCACGTGACTCTTCACGTACACTGGGCATGCGCGTGGGTGTTGATGTAAACAGGAAGTAGATTGTCGTATTTCTTTAAACTAAGCAACCAGAGTAATAAAGTAGTCTTTAATAATGAAAGCTCGTGTTTGATACTTAAGATCTTCTCTAAAATCTTCCTCTATGAACTCAAACAGACACATTTCGTGGAAAGTTTTAGAAGTTTTATTTTTCAGACTTAGTTACAACGCTGCAGGTCTTGCTCTATTTCTCTCTCACATCAAATTCACTTTAAAATCAACACTTACACGTAAAAGTTTACTAGATTATGGGTCCATAAAAGTGGTCAACACACCAATAACAGCTGCTTCCTCCGTAATAATGCAGACTTTAACTGAACAACAGCTGCTAGTAAAGACAACAAGGTCAGCAACGCCTGTAATCAGTTCTCCATGTTAAATTAACCTGGTAGTCGATCGGTAATCAATGTTGTTTGTGAGCTTCCGGGTAAGGGTCAGGTGATATGAGTGTGACGAATCAGGGAAGGACACGTCATGACTGCTAAGAACCAATCAAGTAGCGAATGCGGGTGTGGGCGTCATCGTTTCTAAACTTATCCGTTTTTGACCATCCACACTAATACACAACCCAGAGTTTTCAAACTTATCCGTTTTCGGTGCTCGAAAGCGCCGGCGTAGTGTGGACGCTCAGTGTAAATGTTGCAAAATATATGAGTTTTCAAATGGAAACGGAGTAGTGGGGACATGGCCTAAGAAGGTTGGCGGGGGTAAGTGTGAGCGAGTGAGGGTAACAGTGAAAACAAAGTCTGCCACAGTGGCCTGTAATTGCTCACGGGGAGGCTACAAGGTTAACACTGGGCTAGGGAGAACAATTCAGAAACATACTTTGCTTTGGCAGATGCTCAAGGCTGCAAAACGCTCCACTGTTCCCCGCAGTGCAAACAATGAATTGGGCTTTACCTTCAGTATTAGAAAAAGAGCTGAATGAACCCTGCACAGGTGGTGTGGGATACACGGCATTCATTCCACTGAAATGAAATGGCCTCAATGTAAATCAATGACACACTTGTTCTTAGTTCAGGTGTTACGTAACCTCTGTCTTTATTCACAACCACCATTACTGCTCTCATTTATTTTCTAAGTTTGGAAATCCTTACAACACAGTCTGAAATGATTATTTTAAATGCTTTGTGTACACACACAATAAAATTAAATGCTAGACAATGATTTGCGTCATGTGATCTTCCGCCACCCATATCCAGTCTACAGCTTATGGGTGGATCCTCACGTCAGGGCCGACCTCAGCCTGGTGGCACCCCTCACACAGTAGGGGAGAGGATGGAATGGAGACCTGCACAAATATACAAACACTCAGTGAAACTATTCGTGTTATTACTTCTCAGACTACAGCAGGTAAGAAAGACTATGCCGAGTTTCTGAAGACACTGTCACAGATTGTGTTCAAGATCAACTCCTCCACCATCATTTCTATGAATGGTGACACTGCTCCTGAACCGGTGACTTTCATTATTTCACTACAAAAAATGTATGACTAATAATAATAATAATAATAATTCATCCATCTGCCATACCCACTCATGATCATACTGATTCATTGTTTGCCTTTTCATTTCTCTGAAACGTACTTATTTTACTGCTTTGTTGTAAAATATATTCTATATCATTCATCCAATTCTAGTTTTTCTATTTGTTGCTGGTTTTCTGGAGCTGGGCACAAAAGAATTTGCCATGTAGTACTGTGTATGATTGGGTATGTGACAAATCAGAGGATTAGATTTGACTCACTGGCGCCGTGTTGGGACTCCAGTGCACCCCGTCGTCTCAGCAGGATCCTCTGCAGCTGCTCATCGTGGTTTGTTGACGGAGACACTGCCTTTGGTTGGGGGGAGGTTCTACTGAAATTCTCCTTGACAGATTCAACAAAAAACACATGCACACATACAGATGGTGTGTTCAGGAACAACGGAGCTCGAAATGAGTAGATCTTGAAGAAACTTTGGAGTGGATGCATAATCAACAGTTGCGCAGTAGAATAATGTGCTTGTTTCATTCTTCATCATGTATGTATAGTATGTCAACATTGACTGCAGCTCTTTAAATGTTGCAGTAGCACTTTCTCTTCCTTTAATACATCCAACTAGCTGTTCCACCTTTGTTGAATTTTATCTTTTTTTAAAAATAAGAACTTCTGGTGTGAACATATCCATGTAGTGAAGAATCCAAAGCCTCTCCTTTGGTGTAAACACAGTGACACTTCAACCAGTCAGAGTTGGCTTGTGAGGACATTGGATTGTTTTAAAGTCCCATTACCATGATTCCTTTGAGTTCCTGAATGGCAGAATTAGAGGGCAGCCTCTCCATCTGGTAAAAGGAAAATAGGAAAAACAAGACGGGTTTGGTAAATAAACAGCAGTCTGACACATTATACTTATTTTTCCCTCATTCAGCACTTAGAGGCTAAACTGCACCTCTTACCACAGAGACGAGACACTGTAGGCAAGCACGAGGATGTATGCTTTCTACAAGAAGCAAATGTGTAAACACAATCATTTTGAGTCACGTCAATTTTCCCATCCTCATTATTTATAATTACCTCAGAGCAGGTCCTAATGCTATCTAATTTGCCAGCGTTGTTGTGGCGGAGAAACATGCAGACTAAAAGATGTCTTGGCCATATGTCATGTTTTATCAAAACAAGAAGCTCTCAGATAATCCCACACACTGATGGACTTAAGAGCTCTGAACAATATATGCTTAACAATGTAGTTTGGTGATTGACAAAAATGACACATTTTCTGTCACAATCGTGGCAAAAATGCACACGCACTTCCTTTAATGACTCTCCCATTTCATGTTTTCACGTCTTCTCTGTCTATTTTAGTCACAGTGAGACGTCTCTGCAGATTGTAATGATTGTCTTCGTTGCCTTCAATCCTCTTGAAGCATCATCGGCTGGGTTTTCGTGATGAGGGAATATTTCTCCCCTGAGCAACATTCGAGCTGTCCATTATTGTAGAAAACTTGTTTGCAACAAAGGTTTGGAACCTTTATCCTCATTTTTAAAAGGTATTTCATAACTTATGTGCTGTCAGTCCAAAAGGGTAGATGTTAGTGTGAGCTTTTGCCCCCAAATGCAGCGTATACTTAGCATTGCTAAGGGATGCAACTACGTCATGGCAGGTGTATTGCTCAGGACCAAAATAAAGCGCAGAGTGTGAAGTTGTTTTGATGAGCAATTCTCAAGAAAGCTGTGAGCAGCGACACCTGAGGCCAAGCAATCTGCACGTTCCGAAACAGGCACTGCTCGAGCTTTTTAAAAAAACAAAAAAAAAAAAACAAAAAAAAAAAAAAGGTCCGGTAGGGTGTGCTCCAGTTAGCGGGGTGTCAAACTGCTCAGCCTCCCTGGGAAAGTTTATTCCAGTGTGCTAGAACCCCGAGCTTTACCCGACCGACTGTCAAACTTCAGAGTTGCGGTGGTTCAAGCATTTGATCAGGATGCTTCCTTTAGAGGTTTTTTATTGTATTATTCTTATATTGTATTACTGACAGTTCACAGACACTAAACTGCAGCTTTAATGAACTGGCTGTAAAAACACAGCAGGTCGCAGACATTGTCAGGGTAATACACTGTTTAAGAGGATTGTTGAAGGTACCCGTCTCCTGGTTCCATTAGGTGACTGGCCGACAGGTCGAAGTTGAACGCCTTTCTTGATCCTATGCATCATCTCCTCCACTGCCTGCTGCCTGATGTCTGTTTCTGGGAGTGAGACACACACAAGCAAGAGAGACAAAGATTAGTCTTAGGTGCCTTTTTTTTTTTTTTTTTTTTTTTTTTAAAAACAGACGCGTCGTATTTAACGGCTTCACTGATACTAAACAGGAGCCTGCCTCAGTGGGAACCAGTGCCAAGAACTTAAGTGAGTTTAAATGATTTTGAGAGGCACGAGGCACTGTGTAATTCACAGGCATCATTAGCGCTGCACTTGAAATAAAGCTGATTTGGATCTGAAAGCTTGAAAATAACACAAGCCCCCAGGACCAATCAATGAAGTTCTTGTGCTGCAGCATTTCCCTCGTAATTATGCCATAAACATTGACTGAACTGGATTACTGTAAATCCTCTTCGGGTGGATTTGGCTGTATTCATGGAATAATAAATAATCATTGCTGTGGATGTTAATTTTTGTAGTATTTAAAGCGCACATTTAGTGTTCAGAGCCTCCTCCGGTGTGTGAGGTTACCAAAATTATTCTGAAATCAATTTCTGCACACTGTCTAAAAGCAAACACTATTCAGCAATTTTCATCCAACGTTCTTTGAGGATAAGGTTTATCAACTTCACAAAAGATGGGAATAAAAACCATAATTCTGCAATAATGCAGCCCATTGGCAAAAAATGTGAATATATCATTTTCTAACAGAGAACATTCAACGGCATACACAATGGAACTATTGTCAGAAGATGTCTTTAAAATGTCACACCAAGAGTATTTTGTGTTAAAGTAATAGTAAAATATTTTCCTCCCAAGTGCTCTGAAAGAGACTATTATTCAGATGTCAGAGCAGAAGATCCTTGGGTGGCACATATTCAACCCTGTATGTGATTCCAACAGATACCATGTGCGAAGCGACCAATTCAGGACTCGTATATTCATTCAAGGAAATGAGGACGCAGTATAGCCTGTTCAGTCAACATGGACGATCCAGTCAAGGCTTCCCTTTTGTCTGCACAAATTGAAGAATTTATCATGTTGACCTAATAGGCCAATGATCGAGATTTGAGTTAAAATTTCGAATGCACCACTTGCTTCAACATTTGTCCTTCTACACAAAAGTGACATTGATTTGCAAAAGAAAGGGCGAAAAATTCAAGACCAGTTTCCCTACACTGACATGCATGACAAATAGCAGCCCTTTAAAATACTAAATGAACATACGTCGCATAGAGAAAAGAAAAGATAGCCAGGATATTTGAATTGAAACAGTATTTCCTTCATTGACATCTTGGAATACAAAAGATCCACTGGAATTGAATATCAATTTCTATTTGCACAACGACGATCATCTGAAATTGTCCTCAGTCCCTCCGCTCACACACCCCTTTTTAATTCATAGTGTACATGATTATTACACCATCAGTATACAAAACAAATGCACGTTATTACAATGGTCAATAACATACAGGTCTACCCATCCTAAGCATTTTCAGGTTGCTGAAAACTAAATTATAACTTGTTTGAAAGATTTGTTCCTACTCTTTAACACCCAACCTGGAATACACTACAGACAATTGTATTTGTTATACTTTACTGCATATTTTGCTTTTCCTGCCTAAATTTAGTTTCAAGTCTAGTCCTTAAAGCAGAAAAGGTCATTATTGTAGGTGGTTTTGATATTCATATGGACGTTGATGATGATAGCCTCAGTAAGCAAAGCAAAGAGACTCTATGGTGGTGGAGACCTTGCATCTTTTCCAGAGCTCCAGAGAATGAGATGATACGTTGATCTCATTCTTAGATTGGCTTCTGTCAGTACACCCTCGACCTTGTCTCAACAAAACAGAGGACTCCTGTGCTAAAGCGCAGGTTTTCTTCAGCTCTGTTCTGCTCAAAGCTAAACCCCAGTCTCCATGCCGGATAAGCAAACTTTCTGTTTCCTCCGTCAGATAGGATAGACCCAGCACTCCACCAACCTATCAGGATGTACACGGACCGTACAGCCCCGGTTAGTGGCACACAGATGGCTAACGTAACCTATAAGCCAAAGCCACAAGTGAAGAAGGATAGCAGTGTAATTCCTAACGGCTCTCAGAGTTTCAGCAGTTTGGTTGAGTTTTGTGGATTCTGTTCTCTTTTTCTAGAACTGTTAAGTCAGATGTTGATCAGATTTTGTACGGACCCAGGGGTAGAAGTATAGTGCTGCCCCCTATTTCTTTGGAGCATGTGGCCAGGTATTACACAGTGCACCTTTAACTGCATATTTTGAATTAATACTGGTGCATTAAGCACAATAAACAAAGACCTGCACGATATAATGCACATTATGTGGATGTTTGATGGGTACCTGGTGCTTTGGCTGAGTCCTGGACCACCAGTGGGATGTCAGTACTGATGTCTCTTCTCTTTCGGATCAATGACAACAGCAGACTACAATGGGAGGCACACATGAAGATCAACTGGTTGTTATTTAGGCAGCTGCTTTCACAGCATCCCTGTGTTTCTATTTGGTCCCTAATCACCCAACATCCTTTCAGGAACAAATAAAGGTTTCGATCACAGTCATCCATCAACTTTTTAAAAATATTTTAATGAAAAAATAAAACCAGACAGACAGACAGCACTCTCAGTGACTGCATCAGAGCTAATTCCACATGAAAAACAGTTGATAAAGGCCAACAGTGAGGCTTCATAGTCATCCAGTGGCTTCAAACAGCTGTTTCTGGTGCTTACCAAAAAAGTATGTTTCACTGGAAACGTACTTGATCAAAGTAAAAAGGATTTGCCTGACTGATGACGTGCAGAGCGTATTGTGTGTGTGATCAGACCTGAGTGGGTTAGAGGCCGGAGCTGGGGCTGGAGGAGGTGGAGGTGGAGGTGCTGGAGCTGGGGGCGGGTTGGTCACTGCCTGCAGCTTCTTCTGGAGCTCCTCAACTGAAACACATCCCGTTACAGTAGACACACAGTAAGAGCACCAAGAGCAGGAAAGGGAACTAATCTCATGGTCATACTGTGAATCAAAGGGCGCCTGTTGCCTGCTGAGAGCTCATATAGCGTACAGCACGAAGCTCCACAGTGCGTCCTATCCTAACAGTTCCAAATATGTCTTCACCTGTAGACCGCAGATCCTTGACCTCCTGTTCAGCCTTGGAGCATTTGTCGCTGTACTCCCTTTTCTCCTCTTCCACGAGCTCCAGTTTACGCCTCAATGCCATCAGCTCCCTCTGAGCCTCGCAGCTCTGCAGCCTGTCCTCCATCTGCTTTATCTGACAGTGTAGGAACCACAACACACACACTCATTGTTCACCACGAGTTTGTACACTTTTGAACCTGAACTAGCGTATTGTTCACTGAACAAACCTTCACTCAACATGAACAACCTGTAAATATATAAAGAAATAATGTCATAAAGAAATAAATGTACACGTACAATGAGCTCTGCAGCATTGTGTTGGCCGTGGCGGCTGCAGATCCTACGGTGATGATTTTTGATATAGCATTGGCTAGCTGCCAGTTGACATTCAGTCATCCGCTCCCCAACCCCAGTTCCTTAACCAGTGTTTTAATTGTTCCTCAAATGAAGGGTATGGCTCACCTCCACCCAGCACCAGGAGGGATCAGTGATCCCACTCAGCTCTAATTGTTTCCATCGGTGCCAGAGGAGGTGGGAGGAAGCTGGAGGCTACGCTGCTTTTATTCATCAATCTGGCAGGTCATGGGCCCTAGGTTTTACCATCATGGCCTGTGATAATTCACCAGGTATTTTCCCCCTATGTAATTAACCGGCTAAATAATTCCTGTTTTGATACATATCAATCAGAGGCACTACAGGTGTAAAGCACAGGAGGGAGTCATATATGTAATCATTTTCTTTTTTTGAACTATTGTAATGTAATGAGAGGTCAATATGGCAGGCTAGGGTGGGGTGGTGCAAGGTAATTCACAAAAACAAGTTTTATTCTTCTGTTACTGGCAACACCGGTAATTCTCTTTATCCAACTCAAAAAGACCAAAACAAACAAAAAACATCCAAGAGGAGATAAAGCTTCGTTCAACTGAACAGTGTTAAATAAACTCAACTTCGCATGTCCTCGGTTTCACCGGCTACCGGGTCTTCTTCCTTTCAATCCTCCTCAGTCTGGCTCGGTTCTTTTCTTTACGCCGTTCTCCAGTCCAGATTAGTTCTCGGAGCTCCTTCCAGCCATGTACTCTTCCTCCTTCTCCTCTGTTCCTGCAGCTCTTAAGTCCTGCCTCAATCAGGTGGCTTAAACACGCACCTGGTTGAGTGGTGAGGCCTTCTGGGAGCTGTAGTTGGTGCATCGGCGGCCATCTTGTGGTTTGGCTGCTGATCATTAAAGGGGAGGTAGCATCTATCTACCATCTGGCCCCTGGTGATGCCACACTATGTTTTTGTTTCTAATGAGTAAAGCATGAATGAATATGCACATAAGCGATTTTGGTCGACTGCTATCTGGAGCTGTTACATACCAGCGTTACATACCAGATCCTGGATCTTCAACCAAGATGTGTTCAGGCAACCACAATATCAATAATCTGCTTGGAACTTTTATTATTCTGTGAATGTTTGTTTTGCATAATGTGTTATTTCCAATTTAAAAGATGAAAAAGAGTATTCTTCTTACACTGTCGTCAGACATGTTTGAACCGCAGAATGAATCAGCAAGCAGTGACAGCACACTGATTCATTTAGCACCAAAAGGCTAAAGTCATGGTGGAGCCAACAGAGGGCCATGGTGGAGCCAATGGAGGGCCATGGTGGAGCCAACAGAGGGCCATGGTGGAGCCAACGGAGGGCTGCGGTGGAGCCAACAGAGGGCCATGGTGGTCATGGTCACCACACACTAAAGCCTGATCTTCTGCACTCTTCAGCCACTGCCTCAAATTTGGGTTTGTGTTTTTTTTTCTTCTAAGATAACTACACATTGAGAATGTAATTCAATCCAAAAGTCCCCAAATGACAAGAGCATATGAGTTTTTTTCAGGAGAAGACATCTCAAAGTGCGGCTGAACTTCCACCTGCCTGAAGAACTTGCATCCTCTCTCCCTCTATCTTTCAAGGGCGTAGGTTTGGTTTCAACATTGGTGGGGCTCTAATTAATGCTGAGCATAAAAATATTTCATTTCCTGCATTCATTTATTTTATTTTATTTTATTTAACCTTTATTTAACCAGGTAAAATCAATTGAGAACCAATTCTCATTTTCAATGATGACCTGGCCAAGAGGCAGTAGCACAGTCCACACAAGTTACACAAACAACACAGATACAATACAGTATAACAAACAATGGAAAAATGACTAAAAACAACCTAGATAAAATAATAAACACTATGTACAAAATAAAAGGCAGATTACTGGATGTTATTAGTAAAAGAAATGGAAGAAAGAAAGAGAAGTGAGGGCTGGTCAGCAAGTACAGCAGTCAACTATAACTTGTTGCAGCTCATGTTTGAACATGGTGAGAGAGGTGAGAGCTGTTAGTTTGAGTGTGTTTTGTAATGAGTTCCAGTCCTTTGCAGCGGCAAAATGAAAGGAGTTATGACCAAACACAGTACGGACTTTTGGAATGATGAGCCTAATGAAGTCACTGGATCTTAAATGCCGATTGCTGTCAGAAATGCGCAGAAGATTTGAGAGGTAATGAGGAGTCATTCCCAAAATGGTTTGATAGACCACAAGCAGCCAGTGTTGTAGCTGCCTGGTATGAAGGGAGGGCCAATCCACCAATCTGTAAAGAGCACAGTGGCGGGTGGTGAAGGGTGCACATGTGGAAAAACGGATTGCTGAGTGGTGGAGTGTGTCCAGTTTTCTGAGGGTGGTCTTTGATGCCATTTTATAAATTATATCGCCGTAATCAAATAGAGGAAGGATGGTCATTTTCACAAGGGTGAATTTGGCAGAGTGTGTGAAGGAGGCCTTGTTTCGATACAGGAAACCCAGTCTAGCTTTGACTTTAGCCAGAAGGTTATTGATGTGTATGTTAAATGAGAGAGACGAGTCCAACCAGAATCCAAGGCATTTGTAGGAGCTGACAAACTCCAGCTCCGAGCCATCAGCACTGTAGACCTTGGGAGGGCTGGGAATGATGAGGTTTTTCCGGTCAAACAGCATACATTTGGTCTTTTTGGGGTTGAGGAGCAGGTGGAGGCTGTGGAGAGACTGTTGGATGGAGGTGAGGCTTTGTTGAAGAGTGGACACAGCAGAGTAAGTGAGGGACCAGCTGAATATATGATGGTGTCATCAGCATACAAATGAATCAAGGAATTTTCAGCAGCTTTTGCTACATCGTTAATATAAATGGAAAACAAAATAGGGCCTAAGATGGAGCCTTGAGGGACACCTTTAGAGATGGTAAGTGGTTCAGACATGATGTTTTCAGTCTTCACCCGCTGGACACGACCAGCCAAGTAGCTAGCAAACCAGTTGCAACAACTACTAGACAAGCCAATGCTGGTAAGCCTTTGCAGGAGAATGTTATGTTTGACCGAGTCAAAAGCCTTGGCTAGATCTATGAAGGCAGCTACACAAGTCTGTTTGTTGTCTATGGCGGTGATGACGTCATCAAGGACCTTCAGTGTAGCGGTGGTACATCCGTGGCCTTTCCTAAACCCAGACTGCAGGTCAGACAAAATATGATTTGAATCAATGAAGTGAATTAGTTGTTTATGTACCAGTTTCTCTATGACTTTGGCCAGACAGGGCAAAATGGAAATCGTCCTGTAGCAGTTTGGGTCAGAGCCAGAGCCTCCTTTAAAGAGGGGAAGAATCATAGCCAATTTCCAGTCAAGGGGGAAAACAGACAAATTAAATGATAGGTTAAACACGCTTGTAATAGGGGAAGCAATAATATGAGCGGCTGATTTTAAAAATACAGGGTCAATCCCATCAGAACCAGCTGACTTGTTTGAATCTAACTTAATAAGTTCATCCAGGACTTCCGAAACCTTAACAGGTTGACGGGATAAGCTGGTAACGCTGGGTGACGAAGTGTTAGATGAATCTATTTCAGGGGCAACTGCATCAAAGAAATTAGACGATTTCACGAAATGTTGGTTGAAGTGTGTGGCCATGCGTTGTTTATCAGTAACAACAATGTCATCAAAAATCATAGAAGGGTAGATACGGAGAAGCAAGTTTGTTTTCCATGGATTTAACTATTTTCCAAAATTTATTGCCGTCAGAGCCACTGGCTGAGAATTCTTCCTTGAAATGACTGATTTTAGCTTTCCTGATCGCCTGTGTTGTTTTGTTCCTGCATTGTCTGAAGGCCAGCCAGCCAGTCATTTATGGTGGAAATGACTAGTTATGTGAAAGACAACACAACATTTGAGGTTTGGACCTCGGTGACCTCATAGCTGGTTGCAGTCGTGCTGTTCACACCAGAGGCACATTCCTCTGTGCCGGTCAACAAGCGATTCTGCTCCTCTGTGTGTGTGTGTGTGTGTGTGTGTGTGTGTGTATGTGTGTGTGTGTGTGTGTATGTGTGTGTGTTCACTTCAACAATAATGTGAACGAGTTTGGTAGGGACAATTATGTCCATGTGTAAACCTACACCCTTGCTCTCTCTCTCCATCTCTCAGCCCAACCAGAGACAGGTTCTGCCCAAGGTTTTTACAGGGTTTTACTTTTGATTGCCATTGTCACCCCAGATCTTGCTCATGAGGGAATGTTGGGTCTCTGTAAATGATAAAGTACTGCTCTATATGATAAGCCTCTCCAGATAAATATATTTTAGTTCTGATTTGATGCAACATCAAATAAAATTAACTGAATTCTGTACAGATGTTGTATTCACCACTTCCTCAGTCTTCCATGTCCATCGTGCCCAATCAAGAACCAAAGATGCCAAACTCCATATGTAATGTTACATCCATAAATGAGTCTACTTTGTGCAGGAGTTGTGTACACAGACCTGGTTCTGGTGCTCCAGCCTCTGTGTCTCCAGATCCTGGGTCAGTCTGGTGACCTGGCTGAGGGCTTCCTGTACAGCTTGACTGGGAGAGGAGCTCTGCATCAGGATCTGACTCTGTCTCTTCAGCTTTGTTTGCTCAACCATCATCTGAATAAAGGAAAATGGATATTCCCCAATACGAAAGACAGTCAGGAAGGACACGTTGTTACAAGTGACAAAACAGCATAGTGAAAGTCATCAAATGCAGAATTAAAGAGGACCACAGAAGGTTATTATAAAAAACTCACCGCTGTGGCAAAGCCTTCTGCCTCCGTCCTCAGGTCCCTCTCCAGCTTCAAGGTGTCCTGTAAGGCCTCATATTCCTCCACAGCAAACTGAGACACTGGACAGGAAGATTTCCATGTGGGGTCATTCATACCATTTACCAGTGAAGTGAAAAATGTAGTCTACACAATACTAGCAAATAAGACCATGCTCATGATTAGCATATTTGATGTAAGATTACCAGTGCCCCCCCCCCCCCCCCCCCCCCCCCCCCCCCGCATGAATGACC